ATTTGAGGTACCATATACGTACTACCATTATGCAACACAAGTCTAGGACCATGATAGTTGTAAGTACTCCGGCCCCTACAGTATACATATATCACCACACCAAAGACTTAAAGTCTGCTGCCACTCCTCCCAAGACACCGTGAATCCAATCATCACCCACCTGGGCACAGGTCAAAAATAAATAGAGCACTGTTTGTTTGGTGTTTGCACCAAATTCGATTCTGTTCTTATAAAATGTCACCGCCGATGGTGTAAATGTAGTCTCGCAATATCCCCATCAAAAATACAGATCAGTCTGTTGGTGAGTTTTCACAACTTGGGATTTCCGGAATTGTAATACGTTTTCCTTGAAGCAGGCCCCCTGTTTCTGGAAAGCCCAGGATGCAGGGGTTTGCAGCTTAGGTCTGAGGGTCAGAATAATTTTGAGAACAACCCATATANNAGTATACCATATAGTAGTTTCCATTTTCTTCTCCATTATCCCTATATAACCCAGTATACCATATAGTAGTTGGCCATTTTCTTCTCCATTATCCCTATATAGCCCCAATATACACCCTATAACCCCTATATAGTCCCTATATAACCCCTCATAATCCCCTGTAGCTTCCATTTTCTTTCCACTATCCCTATATAGCCCCAATATACTATACAGTACCCAAAAGGGCCCATAAGTATGAGAAGGAGGGAGCCTGAAGGTCTTTGCTGCTCAGCGGCTTCCGGATCAGGGCTTATCGGTTTGGAGTGTGAAGCTGGGCCCTTAAGCATGGCAAAAGTGCAGGGGCTGCATTGCCCTCACAGTTATTCTGCTTGTGAAGATTGCGGTTTCTGACTGTTGATGTTGGTCTTGGTTGCTAACCATCTCATAGCATATTCTAGCAGCTAGCAGCCAGCCCCAGATGTTCGGCATACGTCTACTTTCGCACCGGGAAATGTATGTGAGTTGCAAGTTCCCCAATGATGTCCAGTAGGTCTCCATCCTTGTCCTGAGGCCGCCGCCAGACCATGTACACTTGCTCGCTGCCTGCTTCCAATTACGGCTGGCTAAAGGAAGGCTCTTCCGTTGGCAGCGTGTTTAGAGACCAGTCCTTGACGCAAAACAGGTTGACGGAGCTTCATGATCCCTACATTCGTTGAACTTTGTGATTATTGAATGCCGGCGCTTATGCTGAAGCCGGCATTCTAACATGCTGACCGTCTGACGCTGGCATTCCAGCTTGTCCCAACTGGGCAAAATCAGAGCAGCTGACTGAAGACACTTTTCAATGACTTTGAGGTTGAAAGACAACCGAGGACTTGCCTGGAATTGGTTTTGGAACCTGAGCTTGTGGACATAATGCAAAACCAGGTTCATAAAGACCTGTACCTTTCCCTTGGGATTCTGACATTGGGGAGTTCCCCTTAACCTGTGCAGCCAAGGCTGCCTTTCAGTGTTGGTGCTCCCCTCCCCTAATGACAGACCCCTACTCCCAGCTAATGGTTGTTCCCAAATTGTTCCCACATTTTGTATACTTGCACAATATTGCGAATATTTTTTCTTTTTTGCGGTGGCGGGGAGGCGGTTGTCAGGGAAGTGACTTTTCAGTAGGAAAATGGAGGGCTCCTTCCCGTGAAGCTGGCACTTTAAGGGGTCATTCTGATGCGGAGGAAGGAATGAGGCGAAGGGCTCCTGGAGCAGGGGACACAGCAGCTCATGTGGCGGTCCCCCTTTTCAGGAAAGTTCCATGTCCCTTGATAGTAGTGGCGAGCTTTCATTCACTCGGTCCCTAGGCAGCAGGGAGTAAAGCAAAGCCTGCTGTCTCGTTGATGAAGACTGCAGAGCTGAAACTGACGCCCATGGCTATCAGAGGAATGACCTTGGCCCGCGAAGTGGGGGTTACATGGGGATATGGGGGGTTATATAGGGGAAGAAAATGGAAACTACTATTGAAGGTCTCAGGATTTAGGCTTTAGGGCTTAGGGTTTAGGGACCTGCCCTGAGGGTTCCACCCAAGATTTTGTAGACTTCCTCTAGCCGAAGCCCGGTTGAACCATACCCTTCACCATAGACGCCCCCACGTGACCTGCGTGACCTGCACCAGAGCAGAGAGCTTCCTGATCAAGATCGAGGTGCAATCAGCAGTCGGCGCACATAAAACCTTGGCTTTGCTGGGCCTGGGTCTATTCAGGCCCTATGAGCCCTAAAAAACCTACAAAGCCTATCAACCCTATAAGACCCATAGACCTCATAGTTCTATGGGATATAGGATTTGGGGGTTAGGGCTAGGGAGGCGTTTGGGGCTCAGGGTTTGCTCAGGGTTTCTTTGGGGTTTAGGGTTTAGGGTCTGAGACCTTAGCATAGGAGCCTAGCATGCCCTGACTCATAGCGTGAGGATCCACCAAGTGAAGGCAACCAGACACCCAACTTACTTGGGGCCCTTGCTGATACCATAGCACCCTCACTAGATAGAAGAATCCTGTCATAAAAGGCAGGCTATCCAAGAGGAGGCTAATTATCTTGATCATCAAAAAGCGTTTCTTAATCCTAAAACCTAAACCCCTGCACAATCCCCAAAAGATCCCATATTCCCCAGAGTCCCTGATGGCACCTACTGCGAAACTCAACCATGTCATATTGTTTACCATCCTCAGGGTTTAGGGCTACAAGCCGGGTTCCTTGATGTGAAATCTTCCCTGTATACTACCACCAAAGACAGTATGGGGAAAGAATCATTAGTAGGGGTGCGGGCAGCTGAATATAGGGGACCGGAATAATGACAGGCGTAACATAGTGGCTTGTTGGGGCATCAACAGTTGATAGAGTCTCCCTATTGAGAAAACGTCTCAGTTGGCGCTTGCAAACTTTCATCACCTCCCCAAAAAGAACACTCCCAACCGAAAATTGTCAGACTAATGAATCATGGTACTGTGTTCGGGGGCTCTTTAATATTGTTGTTACTAGAATAGGGTATCCTATGCCCCTATATACACCTATATATCCCGGTAAACCCTAAACCCTAAACACCAGCTTCCAGTTTGTTTTCCATTCCCCCATGTGTCCCCATATATTCACTTTAAAAGGGGCATGGTGTTTGGATTCAAACTTTGCATTTTCTACTCGACTCTCCATTCGTGTGGAATATCTCTCAAGCGCCATATTCCCTATCATATAATCCCTCAAAGCCATTAGAGGCCGAACCCTAAACCCTAACGCCTAAACCCTAAACCCGCAGCCGGTTGGGACTCAAGCAATGTAGCCAGGTTGCTGGTCCCAGTTGTCTTCGTCCACCAACTTTTTGCCCGCCTTGGCGTATGGTTGACGGATTTGCGAGCTCAGGGTTTAGGATTCAGGGGTGTATGCATTAGGGCTAAGCGTTTAGCCGGGGTATTCTGGGGTACATGACCGTACATGTAGGGGCCCTATACAAAGTGAATTCTTAAAGCCTTGTAGGGAATATGTGGGGATTATGTCCCATAAATACATTTAAACAGATAATGACCAGGAATATCCCTTGTTCAGTGCAATTCTCAAACAAAAGGTCCCAGTACATACCTCCCTCCAAAAATACCGCAATTCCCACTGTTCACCCAGAATCTGGGTTGCTGATAAGAAACTTAAATTAGATTACCATGAGGGGTGTGTATATCTATATATATATGATATATATATATATGTGATTAATATAGTAACTTAAATTAAGGTCCTTAACAGCAACACAGCAATGGGAAGCTCACATCTTCATGTTACCTTCAGGTACTTCTTGAACCTAAGAGTCCCGAAGCGCTGCAATCCAAGTCCAGCCCCCAAGCAGCCGGAAATCAGGTTCACTACTCCCTGGCTAGCTTGTAGTAATAATTCCAAAGCCTGACATCAAGCAGTTTGATGGCCTAAAGCCTCAGTATTAGGGGGGACCCTTCAGCCCTGTTTAGGGCCACCTAGAGGGTCTAGGAAGAAACAGCTCCAAATCCCAAATCCTACACTGTTGATACCAAAAATGCTGCATGACCTTAATGTACTAAAATACCAGAATTCCCAAGGTATGAGGTGCTTCAAGTCATGCAGGATTTTTAGTATCCACCGTAGGTCTCTGAAATTCTCTGAGGCTGGGGCTGCCATGGCACACCTGAGCTCGAGCGCAGGAGCACTGCTTGGCTGACGCTGGACACATGAACTATATAGTCTAAATTCCTAGTATCCCCCTTCATAACCCTTATAATACTCTGCTATAAAATCCTCTATATAAACCCTGTGAGGTTCCGTGGATAGGGAACAAGTGGTTACAGCCCAACGCAGCCGGTATTTCTGAAAATAGCGGTTCAAAAAAAAACAAGTCCCGTATTCTGTAGGCCCTGAACTAGGCTATACAAAAAATCTTATCTCATGGCTTCATGCGTATGCGTTTATAAAAGGATTACGTGTGATAAGCAAAAAAAAGTGTTCAAACCTACCCCTGAGAAGCCCAAATCCGGCGAAGCGGCAGGCCGGTGATCACGCCGCAGCTCAGAAAGAAGCCCGAAGAAGTAGCTCCTGTGACCGGGTTGCTGTTCAGGAGCTTAAATCAAGTTAGCGTAATGGGTCCAAATACAGGAATTAATATGGTTCCCCAGTATAGTAACTTAAGCCAAATTCCTTAACAGCAACCCAGGTGAGGTCTGGGTGTGAAATTCACTTGCTGGAGTTTGGTAGGACGAGGACAGGAATATGGATGCTACGAAATTGTTTAAGGTTTGAGATTCCGGCTACAGGCAGTGCCGCGTTTAGAGTCAGTGAGTCGCTGAAAACGGCAGTTTCCAGAAACAGGGGGACCCCAACATAGACTCTAAAATACTAAAGCCCTTTTTATGGGAGCCACCAAGAACCCCGCCAATGCAAGTTTGGCCGGCAATATGATCGGCCGATCCTTGCCGAAGAGACAACGCGAAGTCAAGGGAGATCGGCACCTGCATGGACCTGAGATCAGTTCCAGCTTGATCTTGCGAAGCACCAGTGTTATCCATGATGGTAACCGTAAAGGGATATAAGTTGTAACTTGGATTTTTGCCCACCTAGAGCTTGATAGGCCCGAGGAGGCCCTCATAAAGATTGGTATGGGGATGTCTCTGGTGCACGTATACAGCGAGCGGGTCCTGCTACTTTTGGGGTAGCGATGCTGATGTTGAAGACATGGTTTGTTTTGGACCTTTCTCAATTTTTTCCCTCTACAATCCTGAAGAAGGACTCCGGAATCCCCTCAAAAAACTTCTATTTCCAAAGAAGAGCATTTTTTGTGCCCGAAAATGGAGTACACTGTGTTCAGTCAAGGTGACACTCGCATGTTCTCTCCCCAAAGCCGTGTTGTCGGTTGAGTGGCTATTCCTTAAGATGAGTGTCTCAGGTCTTGGGCCCTTACTCTTAAATGAGAGGGCAGAATCACACTGACCGCCAAATTCGGAACCTCTTGAGGCGTGGTGTTTGGTGAGGGATCTCCATGTTCTGGTTGGCTCGGGGTTTGCTAGAACGCGCTGCAAGTATTTTGACTGAGGGCTTCTGTAAGACTCGGCAAGAGCAGCCCCCTGTACACCGGGCCATGGACCCTTTCTGAACAACTTGGAACTCTAGAAGTCACACTTCTCCCAGGCCAGAATGCCGCACAGTAAAGCAACGTTTACCGAAACAGTCTGAGAAGCTCTACAACAAAGTAAGAAAATATTTTCACAAGCCTCCACCGTCTTCAGATTATTGTTGCCAGTATAGTATTTCCATTGCTATTATTGTCAATGTTGCCAGTCTCTGCTTGAAGCCAGCGGCATGGCCACAAAGGGTGCGGCATTGCTCCACAGGCCTCAGCCACGAGTAATGTAGGGGGCCAAACGCGCCCAAGTAAATAGAATAGCTTGTTGAGAGTACGTATGTTCTATAGTTCTATAATGGCTATGAGTCCCCACGTCCCCTGATCTTTAAAACCCTGCCGGCCTCAGCATGCCTACGTACTTAGTACCAAAACAGTCATGAAAAGCCTTCCTTGATGCTTTGGGACGATGTGCTGCCCACAAAAAGCCAATTAGCATACCTGGTTGTCATACGGTTTGTCTATCTCCTCTTCTGGCAATGCCTCTGGTAAAGGGACTCCCTAAACCCTAAACCCTAAAGCCTAGACGCTAGAGCAGGGGAGTCACAGTCAGATGCAGCCGGGAGTGTGGGCTTGAGGTGATCTTGGGGGTCCCAGAAATTCAGGGTGCTATGCGGTCCACAGAATTGGGACTCTCGAAAACCCTTGGCATCCTGCCATTCTAGGTCACTACGGCATTTGATGCGCTACTGCGATCAATTCTAAACTGGCCCAAGCAAGTTGCAGATCTAATATATACCTCCACATGCCCGTTTGTGAAAAGACGCCAGTCCACAAAAGAGGCTTGTTTTCAGGTTGTACGAGAGTTTAGCTTTCTCAATCTCCACTAATTACATGAGCTATAGTCTAATACTCCTAGTATTCCCCTTGATAGCCACCATAGCAGTCCCCTGTATATTCCCCCCACATAATCCCCTAAAAGGACTGTAGACTATAGCTCACATTTCTATGTCCGAGCTTCCCATCAGCTGGCATCCCAAAGACTTCTCAAGCTGCTTGGGCTGGCAAATAGGAATGCCACCGCGAGACACATACCTTGTGCTTCGGGATGCTTGGGATTGCGGTCTTTTGGCCTCTGAGGTTTCGAGCTCAGGGGCCGGCAGGGGCCCCAAACGGATTTAGGGTTTAGGTGGCTGGATATCTAGGGGTATCACGACTGTTGAAGGCTCAAGCCAGCGTTGGGCAGAATCCTCACAGTGCTTGAGCTTACACCAAGCCAAACCTAGTAGGACCTCTTCCGTACAGAGATGAGACTTCAAAAAACTAACGAAGGGTCCGCCTGGAAATCAGGGATCCCTAGCTTTGAAAACGCAAGAATTCCTATTGTATATGTCTGCAACAAACATCATATGTGCCCAGGTTTCGATTTCATGTTCAACTGGGGTTTTTGCATGAAAAGCCGGTGCTTTTGCTTGATCCGAAATGTTATCATCGTTGTAGATTCCTCGTATCGTTTTCCCAGGTTTGGACACTGTCGTTGTTGTTATCGGTTGTTACTTCCTCATGTCGTTGTTCAACTAACAAAACCCCATTTGCCTGTGAATCAAAATCCCGTTTTGTCGCGGGGCCTCCCCCGCTTACATACCCCTCTGTCGTGGCCTGTTATTACATGCCTATGTCGCGGATGCTTGGCGCTGGTATGCCCTACAAAAGCATCTTGCCGCAAAGGTGCTTGTTGCAAGGCGGGAGATCCTGTTACAGACCTATGTGGCGGAATGGCCGCACACGCCTGTTACAAACCCACACTCCAGGACAAGATCCTGCAGCGCGGGGTTCTTATGCAACCCCAAACTAGATTGCCGTTTGATTCCCTACTACAACCCACATTGGCACATAGGCCCTAAACCCTTCCCACTCAGGATGGGTGACTTCAGCCAGGCAACACTTCGTGGACGAAAACTGCCACGAAGAATCCGATGACTCCTCCAGCCGTAATTGCTAGGTACGCTACATAATGGCTTTAGGGTTTAGGGTTTAGGGACCCTTACACCGTTACCCTTTTTGGGATACCTCATGCTGCATATGGGACTTGGCTTAAATTAGTGTTCCCCAAATGGGGAAATCTATACAGGGACCTGTATTATAAGGAACCCCAATATCTGGACCCGTATCATAACAAATCTAGCGAAATCCCAGATTTAAGATAATAACCATAAAGTTTGGGACCCTTAAAAGGTGTCTATAGGTACAACTCTGAAACTTTGCTCGGTCTGCTTGCAAGGATCCTTGATTATAAAGCTCCGCATAGGGTTTAAGGTTTGGGGGAAGAGGTTGCTTTGCTGTGAAGGTGAACCAAAGGTCTTGCAGACAAAACAGCCTTCCTGGAATCCGAACCCTATCCTTCCCTAAAAATCCAAGTATACAAGCACGTCCTGTAATCGAGAATCAAATGGAAAAGAAGATGGACAATGAAATGGACAACTGGAGTCATAAAGGTGCTAGATAGGGATACAAGTATACAAGTAATATCTACATGGGTCCCTAGGAATATGTGAATATTACCTACACTGGGCTATTTGGATCCCTTAACGCCCCTATAAGCTCCTATTTTCCATTTGCTTTTCCATTTGATTCTCCACCGAAACCCTAAATCCTAAGCCCCAAACCCAAAACCCTACGTTACCTACATTGGGCAATTTGGATCCCTAGATACGTACCATGCAACTCCCCATCTGCCCAGTGTCCTCCGTAGACCCACCACGGGAAGTGCACCTCTCCCACTGCCACAGAGAGCAGGCATCAAACTTGTGACAAAAACACACCAGAAGAAACGAAAGCCCAGAAATCATAATAGCAAATACGAAAAATATGATATTCATATCAACAATAATGCCAGTAATTATGGTAATAATAGTAACAATTGTAATAATAGAGATTAGAAATAGTAGCAATCTATCGTAATATGAATAATGGTAAACGCAACCCCTGAGCATTCAATCCATGTGTTCAGAAGCCTGGGTCTTGTCCAAATCCAAACTCGTACATCCCGGAACAGTTCGGATTGGTTCCTGTTGGGGTTACCCATAAGAGGGCACAGAGTATACTTACTATGCGGACATGCGTATAAGGTGCAGACATTTTCTCTAAACCTCCATGAATCCCTTGTCTACCTCCTTGGCGGGTCAGGGGACTTAGGAAGTAGGTTAACAGACCCTATAGCCCACATGGTAACCCTAAACATCTCCATTCTCTACCTACTTACTCAATCCCCCTGACCCTAAACTCTAAGCTCTAAACCCTAAATAGTCTAGTAGGTTCCATTTTCTTTTCCATTGTTACTAAGGCCCCTTGAGCCCCCTGGCCCTCCCTAAACCCTAAACCCTAAATGGTGAGGCAGCTAAGGTGCCACTCGGCTACCGAAGAGGGCTCGATCTATGCGTTCCCAGGAAGCCTGAGCTTCGGAGTCCAGGGAGGGGACTCCAGGGTTGGGACCTAGCTTTCGGGCTTTAAAGGGCTTCTCTGTGAGCGCTGGGTAGATTTTTGGAATGGCTCAGGTTTTGATTCCTTCCCCTACCTTCCATCATTGCGCGTTCAGCAGCTTGAGATGTACGGCATAGGACTTTTGAACCGTGTCTGCGCTCTGGGTTGGCGGAGGCCATGCAAGCCAAGAAAAGCGGTTGGAAACGGATTCGTGCACCAAAAGAAAAGATTCGCGCACCAAAACAGCGGATTCGCGCACTATGCAAAACACGGAATTCGCGCACTAAGGCGGGCGGATTCGCGCACAAACCCGTCGGATTCGCGCACCAAGGATTCGCGCACCAAAGATTTGCGCACTAACACGAGATTCGCGCACCAAAACGAGCAGATTCGCGCACCAAGCGTACCTGATTCGCGCACCAAGCGGACATACTGTACAAGCCTGAAGAATTACCTATACCACTTGAGGCTTCTTTTTGGTACCCTCTACCATACTTGTACAAGGAACCTAAAAGCCTAAACCTCAAATCCTAAATCTTAAACTCCAAAACCCTAAACCGCAAGCCCTAAACCCCGAGCCCTAAACCCCAAGCCCAAAATCCTGAACCCTAAGAAAACCCTAAGCCGTAAGCCTGAACCAACCCTGAACCCTAGACCTTAGACCCTGAAGCCTAACCCCTGAGAAAACCCTAAACCCTCAACCCTGCATCCTAAACCCTGAACCCGAAGGAAGCCCTGGGCCATAAACCAACACCCTACCCCAAACCCTGGACCTGCGCCCTAGACCCTAAACCCTACGCACTAAACCAACCCTGAACCCTAAACCGTGAACCCTAAATCCCAAGAAAGCCCTAAGGCCTCAAGCAACCCTGAGAACCCTGAAACCCCGAACACTAAACCCTAAACCGTAAGCAGGCCTGAGCCCTAAACCAACCCCAAACCCTAAACCCTAAACCGTAAACCCTAAGCCCCGGACCAACCCTGAACCCCAAACCACAGCTCCTTTGGGTGCTTGAATCGGCTCCTTTTGGTGCTTGAATCGGCTTCTTTTGGTGCTTGAATCGTGTCCTTTTGGTGCTTGAATCGGGCTTTTGTAGTGCGTGAATCGTTGGTGCGTGAATCGGCTGGTGCGTGAATCCTTGGTGCGTGAATCTTGGGTGCTTGAATCGTAGTGCTTGAATCGGGGTTGGTGCGCGAATCGGGGTTTAACGAAGAAAAGCCATGGCAGCAATCATTTCCCCAAACATTAAACACCCCCCCCCCACTCCCTAATGAAAATGATCACTTGTAGGAAATGTTGAAGTCAGGAGGTGATGGGCGACAGGGTTCAAATCTAGTGGCAAGGTTTCAAACGCCTGGCCTCTGGCCTGCCATGGTGTTGCCCAACACTGAGCCATGTAGGTCAGTTGGCTGCGATACCGGAGAAGAGGCCGAGGATTTGAGTTACTGCCAAGACTTGATGTATACCTGGTGGGCATGGCCTTGTATCAGTAGGGAATGGATGAGGACTATACTAAGTTTCCGAAAGACCCCTTTGCTCAGCCTTACTAGTCCCTAGGGTTACCTAGCATTCACAGCAGCTCCTTCGTACACCGCAGGTCAAACTCCTGATGCAATCCAAGGCCCCCACCCAAGAAAAAGCCTATGAATGCTTTTGAAAACCAGGAATCCGTTTCTGGACTAGTAGCCAACTTCCCGCTGGATTGCGGAACATGCGTTACTGGGAGGTTTGGGTGCATTCCAATGACCAGAAGGACGAACATGCGTTACTGGGAGGTTTGGGTGCATTCCAATGACAAGAAGGACGATAGCATTTGGACGTCTGCACCCCTAAAAAAAAAACAGTGACCAAATACAAGCAATTCCAGGAATGGAGAATCAAATGGAAAAGAAATGGTAAATGAAATGGAAATTTGGGGTTATAAAGCGGCTATATAGGGATCCAAGTCAGTACACAAATAATACCTACGTTGGGCCCTAAAGTCTGTAAGCAATACCTACATTGGGCTTTTTGGATCCCTAGGGAAAGCCCACATTGCAGATCCATGTGACGGATGTCAGACCCGGTGCCTCGGCCGATCCCTGCGCAGGCGCGGGGAGCGTATTGTAAGGTTCTACATGCGTCGGATTTAGCTAGGGTTTAGGGCGTATTTTTTGAGCCCACGGACTTTTAGGATTTTGGTTTAGGGTTGTGGTTTGTTTTGGGTACTGCTCCCACCCAGTAACAGCCTCGGGTACTGCTAGGGGCTTTATCATCATCTAGCTGTTAGGCTGTTGGCGAGGGAGGACAGTACCTGAGGTCTACCCTAAGCTCCGAGTCAGCAAGTCATGTGCTTCCTAGGTAGATACATTACGAACGCTAGGGTTACTTATCCAGAAAGAAGAATTACAAAAGACAATCGGATATTACCAGGTTATGACGTGGCTTTTACCGTGCGTGGTGTTTTTGTTAGTGTTGGGAATCCTGGCAATGACGGTTAACAATGAGGCTAGTGGCATTTTGCGTTATTTAAGTGGACAGTCCTGTTTTCAAGCTTCCATCCTTCCATATTGGATTCGCGTACGTATGCTTGTGCATACCTCTTCAGGAGGAGCGAACCACTCTCAATCGGGAATACAACCATGAATTCAAGCAGCACATTCTTCAGATCAGCTTGCACAACATAGGGCTAAAGGCCAACGGGTAGCATGACGGAAAATGGAGGATGCATCCTTCTTGTCCCTCTTCTGAAGTTCTTGGGGGAGGGGATTGCTGATTCTCCAACTTTCTGTCTTGAGCTGTAGGGACCTTTGAACTAGGCCACTTCCTTGGAAAGGCAAGACAGTGTTGGGAAATGTTGGGAACCTCCCCTTAAACTCTGCAAAGCCTGACTTTTTCATGGTTTTGAAGCACTTTGGAACCCTGCACCTCAGAATTGAACATCAGACCTGTGAAGCGCAAACTCCAAGCCCCTAGATACGTTGAAGTACGAACTGCTGCCCCGTTCGCTGGTGGGCTGGGCCTTTGCAAAGCGCTTTCTACTATAAATGTTTCAACAACCATTCTAGCAACCATGCGTGACCCTGCACATGTGAGACCTAGGGGGCACCACATGTTAGACTCAGACCTTTGCCCCTACACTCTACCTGGACCCAGACACCCTGGGTCCACATCTTTAATGGCCAGTATCTTCTACATACAGAGTTAAGCACCAAAAAAAGGGGGCGGCTATGCCCTCTAGGCGCCCCCCCCTCTTGAACACACATCCAACCGTGACTGCCTTGGAGGCGCTGACAGCTAAATGGCCCTCGGCTGCACGCTCCCTGACCTTCGACTTGCATCTGAAGTCTATCTGGCTTGAGGAGTTGCTGCAGTAAGGCTCCAGCTGTTGGATGGTTGGATTATGAAAGCTTAGGATCTAAGGCCAGTTCAGGATTTGGTGGCTTCAGGTGGGAAATTAGTACTTGCCAAGATGATCTCGAAGTTTTATCTTTTTTCAAGTATGGGGAGCGGGCTTTACCAGCTTGGTAGCACAAGGCCTTCAAACTTCATACTTTACACATTACGCTGGAAAGCTGCCGGTGTTGCTTGGCCATCAGAACAAGGAATTAGCCGCAGTGCTCAAAAAGTCTCCACATCCCTGTGAAGAGCAGGCCCGGTCAATGAAACAACTACTCCAGTAATCGACTCAAGGGGCAGGGGGGCGGGAAGCTTTAGGATGTTTAGGTCATTGGAATTAGGATCACCACTGGACGCCCCAACAGTATAAACAACTATGACAGTCTGCACTACCCTGCAAAATCCAATGAAACCACACCCTGAACTCGCAGCCCTAAACCCTTAACCCCAATTCCAGACCTCAGCCCCAAACTTGCCATGAAGCCCTCCAACAGTTGTAACAACACTAAGAGACAAGATTCATAACAATGATAGCAAAAATAATGTAATGGTGATAACTTCATGGTACTAATAGTAACAACATAGTACAATTGAATGTAATGGTGATGACTTCATAATACTAATAGTAACAACCGTAATGCAAACAAGAATAACCACTCCAGTGCCTGGTAGGTCTCCTGGAGGAAGCCCTGGCCCCACTGCGATAGTGATAGCTCGTCGGAGCCCTCGCGGTCACAGCTAAGGTCCTTGGCCCATCATGGGGTTCCTGGTTGGCAAAAAGAGCGGGATACCGGGATTCCGGCCCCCTCAAAGATCACTTACACGATAAACTATTCGAGCTCGATCACACTGACTAGAATGCTTCTCAAACATGAAAGAAGACCAGTGCGACTGTTCTCTATATGAACCACAATTTGGGGTGGGCTCGTGTGAGGTCGCTCTCGAATTGCACAGCTCAAATCTCTTGTTCACTCCCCCACTCCCCCCACACTTAATTGGACTCATGACACTGAAGTTTCCCGGTCTTTGGGGGACTTTGGGTTGTTCTCCCCCCGTAGGAATAAAGCTCCCGCCCGATAGCAACAACTCCCCCAATACACCATGGTGCCATACTGGAAATGTCTGGTACTGGGGACGGGGGTCGTTTAGGGGCAGGAGATTGATGCCTAGCTTAGGGTCTAGGCTATGTCATTCTCGTTTCCCTCTCTATTGGGGCCATATCCCCTAAGCCTTGTAAAATCCCTGTGTAATCCCTAAAAACCCAAATATCTCATTCTAATCCCCGTGCAATCCCAATAACTACATACCCGTATACATCACCCTACGAACCATACCCTACTGCTTGTAATAGTGGCTATTAAGGATAATGGCGATTCTATTAGGGCCTCTGATATTCCTAGTACAGCACTATTACAAGGTGGGTGGTCCACCTAACCTACCCCCCAATGACTCTCAGGAGGAGGGGATTGCCAGACGAGCAAGCCATAGGGCTTTCAGTCTGATGAAAGCAGGATTTAGGGTTGGGGTTTAGGATACCTCGCGCTACAGGGTTTGCAGAAGGAATAGCATCAACAGGTGGAGGAAAGATTTCTCTAAGTCTTCTTCAAGTTTGTACATTGGTGAGTGGGGGTTGGGGGATGTGGGATTTTAGAGCTTTAGATGGGCAGCAATTGGTGGATTTGAGCATTTGAGAGCGTAAGGGCCTCAAAGCAAAGGCCTTATTGTCCAAGCAAACAAGACTGCCTGCAGCTAACGCTTTGTTGTCCCAGGTATGCTGCCTTTTACTGCTACACGTGGTAGTCTCCAATCATTCCAGCCGAACACCCGGAGTTCGCAGAGGGTGGAGCAAATTTACCAAAAAAGGAGTCATCAACGGATGCGGGGCTTGTGGCAGCCTAGACCCTGATCGTAGGCTTTGGGCACTGGTTCTCATCAATCCTCTAGGGCCTTATTGAAGAAAATACTGACTCCACACAGACGAGCTGCATCTGTGGCCGCGCACTGGGGCTCCGCAAGACATGGATAAAGTAGCAGAATGGCCTCAAGAAGCTACGGAGTGCTTTCCGTGTGCTCTGTATGGGGATGGGATCCCAACCCGGACTTCAGAACTAGGTAAAATGATACCGTTTATAATTCCGATAACCTCATTCTGATTCTGCATACTCTGTGGTCCAGGTAGAAAGAACCAGTATCTCGCAAATTCGGGACAAAGCCTCTTTGTGGGGCAGGTAATTGGAGGGAGAATACTTCACTTGAGATTATCTTTTGAGTTTGGCCGAGCTAGTATCAGACATCTACTTGCCGAAATCCCTAACCGCCAAAAGGGGGTAACCCCCTGATTACAGTAAGGGTATATAAGGCCCAGAGTTGAAGGCATAGGGTGGAGGATTTAGGGCTTACTGAGCCCACAGAGCCAGGGAACCCCCCCCGACACCTAAATGGGAATCCTTTACCGGAGGCCCCGGCTATCTTTGAAAATGGAGGCCCACAAATGCTACTGCTTGTCATGCGGATCCCTAACACTACCCAGTTTGGGAAATCCCTGTAGTGCACCATTACTGAATTGGAGGGGCGTAGGATCGCAGGCCATCTTCAAATCTTGAAGCCTCGTCCACTTGTCTTGACCCCTTACCACCTAGGCAGTGAACCCTAAGCCCGAAGCCCCTTTACCCTAAACCCTAAATTACAGGATCCCATAAGAATCCTTTTCGAAGTTCTACACCCAGTGGTTGCTCGTGCCCCAAAAATCCGGGCAACCGAAGCTCCACATGAAATTAGGGGCACCTATTCAGGGTATATAGGGGTTATATAGGGCATGGAAATACACATATATATATATTCTATACATATATATGGTCACGCCCCGGCGGGCTCCCCCCCCCCTCCCCCCCCCATGGTATGGTCCCTATCTTCTAAGGTCTAAATCAAGATTAAACTATAACCC